TGCTATCTTGCCTTTTTTCCTAAACTCTCATTATACTCTGACCCAGATGAGGAGAGGATATGAAGGATGACGCAAAAGTCTAGTAGACATGAGCACCAGATCTATGTGGGATGGTTTTCACTTTTTCCAAAGGACATCTAAAAAGTCATTTTCACTTACTTTTACATACGGGATTTTTATTTTTTGAGTAGGAGTCTCACTCTGTTGCCCAGGCTAGAGGACAGTGGCACACTCATGGCCACTGCAGCCTCGACCTGCTGGGCTCCGGCGATCCTTCCTCCTCAGCCTTCATTTTTGATTTATTGTAGAGATGAGGGGTCGCCAAGTTTCCCAGGCTGGTCTCGAACCCACCAGCTCAGGCAATCCTCTCACCTCACCCTCCCAAAGTGCTGGGATTACAGGCTTGAGCCACCACGCCCAACTACGTACAGGATTTTTAAGTGTAAAAATCCATATTTATATATAGTTTAAAATTCTTTACATACACGATTTAGGTATATATTATATGTTGAAATTACATTTCATAAGTACCTGTACTTCAGAGTAAAGCGAGGAAAGCATTTAATTCTTTCATCCATAGAGCATTTTGTTTAATTTCATATTACCTATAAAGCCAATGCTTCCTCCTCACAAAATAAAATGCGGCAGCATCCTGATGCAATCTGCATTGTTGACAGCAGAGGGCACTGTCATATAAAAATGACCATTTTTTGTTGTGTACAAGAATCTCTTCCAACCAGGAAGCACTGGTTTCAAAGAAGCTAGGATTTCTGTAAACTGCCTTATTCACCAAAACTATTTTAAAATCTCTATGTGAATACAAAGTGGAATTTTAATTGATAAATTTAAACTTGTGTTATAAATTATAAAAATAAAGAATAATATTGAAAAATTTACTATTTGGCATGAATCGGCTTACTGAATCTTTTCTCCCACTGTTTCTATTACTATATGATGGCATATTTATATAAAGTTGAAAAATAAAAATATAAAATATTTTTGTTATAGAATATTTAGGTTATAAAACTGCAAAGGAAAGCAAGAAAGTAATTAGCATAAAATTCAGGGTACTATTTAACCTTAGGTGGGAGTGAGGAAATTATGACAAAGAAGGAGCAAGTTAGGGACTTCGGGAATGCTGGGAATGTTCCAATTCTTAACCTGTATCATGACTACATAGTTTCCTATTTTATAACAAATCATGAAACTGAATATTTACATCTTATACACACAAAACCAAAATATCCGAAGGCCTTATCCAAACTGTATCAGTTGTCAGAAGAACTATCTTAAGATACAGAAGATAATGATAAAATATTATAGATGTAGAAATATCCACTTCAAAAACACAGGTTCTAAACCAAGGGTCCATGGACGATTTATTTAAAAAGAAATTTTAGAGATAGAGTTTCGCTCTATTGCTCAGGCTGGAGTGCAGTGGTGATCATAACTCACTTCAGCCTAAGCTCAAGCCATCCTCTCACTTCAGCCTCTCATGTATCTAGGACAACAGGTGTGCATCACCACACCCATCTAATTAAAAAAAAAAAAATTAGAGACAGGCCTTGCTATACTGCCCAGGCTCGTCTCCAACTCTTAGCCTCTAGCGATCCTCTGGCATCAGCCACCACACCCAGCTCCATGGAAGATTATTTTATGTGATGTTTCCTAATAGATAATCCCTACCTTTCATTATATTCTTAAAAACCTAGAAGATCAATGTAGAAATACCATCCAAGCATTTATACAGGTTCTGCTATTTTAGAAGTAATTCAGTTAACTTCCAAAACTATTCAAACAGTATAGAATAAAATATTTCTAATGCTAAAAAAGTTTCTGGTTAGAAAAATCATTATCTTCATTCATAAAGTTAAAAATTCAGATATGCTTAGGCCCAAATATTCTTTCTGGTAAAAATATAAATAAATAAAGTGGCATTCTATTCTCCTTGTGCTTATTTCTTTACAAGAAAACTGTTTACAGAATAAATATAATAATTTTGCAGTTACAAAATACAGAAGCAAAATGTCTATCAACAATATACAAAGGAGACAGGAGAAAGGAAACAGGGTATATTATAATATCCTTCTATTTTACACTAAGTATTATTTGAAGGTAGACTGTGACAACTTTAAGATACATATTGTTGAGGCTGGGTGCAGTGGCTCATGCCTGAAATCCTAACACCTTGGGAGGCTAAGGTGGGACGACTGTTTGAGGCTGAGAGTTTGAGACCAGCCTGGACAGCATAAAGAGACCCTGTCTCTACCAAAAAAAAAAATTTAAATACACACCACTGACCCTAAATCGACTAGCAAAAAAACAATATATGTGCTATATACATATATATTTACAGATATATATATCTGAAAGAGATACAGTCAATAATAAAGGCAAAATGGAATCATAAAAAAAATTTCTAAAGTGGGCAGAAAAGCGAAGAACAAAAAGCAGATGGGACAAATATAAAACAAATATAGGCATACCTCACTTTATTATACTTCACTTTGTTACACGTCACAAACATGTGCTTTTTACAAATTAAAGACCTGTGGCAACCCTGCATTGAGGAAGTCTATTGGTTCCATTTTTCCAATAACATGAGCTCACTTTGTGTCTCCATGACACATTTTTCAAGCTTTTTGTCCAATATTTCAAACTTTTTCATGATGACTACTGATGTGACTATTACAATCATTTGGGGGTACCACGAACCCTACATCCTGTAAGATGATGAACTTAAACTCTCTTCCATTCTGTGAAGGCCGACGGAAGTAAGGAAGCTGCAGAAGAAAAGTTGGAAACTAGCAGAGGCTGGTCCGCAAGGTTTAAACACAGGAACTGTCTCTGTAGCGTAAAGGTACAAAGTGAAGGCACCACAAGTGACATAGAAGCTGCAGCAAGTTAGCCACAAGATCTAGCTGCAATCATTGATGAAGACAGCCATGCTAAACAACATATTTTCAATGTAGATGAAACAACTTTCTATTGGAAGGAGATGCCATCTAGTTCTTACTTTCATTTTTAGAAAAGAGAAGCCACTGGCTGGCTGCAAAGCTTTAAAGGACAAGCTGATTCTCTCATTAGGGGCTAATACAGCTGTAACTTTAAATTGAAGCCAACACTCATCTACCACTCTGAAAATCCTAGGGCCATCCTTAAGATTATGCTTAACTCTTCTGCCTGTGCTCTATAAATGAAACAAGTAAGTCTGACGGCATGGTTTACTGAATGTGTTAAGCCCGCTGTTGAGATCTACTGCTAAAAAAAAAAATTCCTTTCAAAGTATTACTGCTCACTGACAATGTCCCCGGTCACCCAAGAGCTCTAATAACAAGGCTGATGTTGTTTTTCACGCCTGCTAACACAATGTTCATTCTGCAGCCCATAGAACAAGGAGTAATTTCAACTTTTAAATCTTATTACTTAAGAAATGCATATTGTAAGGCTATAGCTGTCATAGATTGTGGTTCCTCTGATGAATCTGAGCAAAGTAAATCAAAAACCTTCTAGACATGATTTACTGTTCTAGATGCCATTAAGAACATTTGAGACTCATAGGAGGAGGTCAAAATATCAGCATTAATAGGAATTTGGGCCGGGCTCGGTGGCTCAGCCTGTAATCCCGTGCCTTGGGTGAGGTGAGGAGGCTGAGGTGAGTGGATTGCCTGAGCCCGTGGGTTCAAGACACGCCTGGGCAACTTGGTGAGACCTCATCTCTACAATAAACCAAAAAATCAGCCGGGTGTGGTAGCACACGCCTGCCTGTAGTTCCAGCCACTTGGAAGGCTGAGGTGGAAGGACTGCCGGAGCCCAGCAGGTCGAGGCTGCAGTGGCCGGGAGTGGCCACTGCACTCTAGTCTGGGTGACAGAGTGAGACTCCAACTCAAAAAAAATAAAATAATAAAATAAAATAAAATAAAATGAAAGGGCAGAAAAAGATATACCACAGAAATGTTAATCCTAAGAAAGCTGAGATGGCTATATTTATATCAAACAAAATAAATTATTGACTGGATTCTAGACCAGAAAAAGGACACTGAAAATATGAGAATAATTGAAAATATCTGAATGAGGTCTGTAGACTAGTTACAAGTATTGTATCAATGTTAATTTCCTGGTCTTATAAGTGCCATGGCTATACATGATACTAACATTTTAGGAATCTGAGCAAAAGGTATATAGAAATTATATATATGACTTTTGCATGTTTTTCATAAGTATATAATTATTTCAAAATGAGAAGTTGAAAACATTCAAAAATTTAGTTTCTGCTCCTCAAAAGAAAAATAAATAAGACAGTAAATAAATAAATAGATAAAATGAAAATGCAAGTCACTGACTGGGAGAAAATCTTTGCACACTGTATTTGACTTATATACAGGAATTTTACCCAGTATATATAAAGAGCTCTTACAATTCAACAATAAGGCAAATCAATTGTTTAAAGGTACAAAGGATTTGAAACAGCAAAAAGTAAGATATATCGAATGGCCGATAAACGCATGGTAAGATGCTCAATACCATCAATCATCGTGGAAACTCAAATTAAAAATCACAATGGCTCCCTCACATCAAATGGCTAAATATAAAATGCCTGACAGTACCAAGTACTGGCAAATGTGTGGGCAGCTGGAACTTTTATCCCTTGCTGACAAGAATGTAAAATCGTACAACTCATTTAGAAAAAGTTTAAAAACCAATGTGTTAGTTTCTTAAGTTAAACATACACAGTCCATATGACCCAGCAACTCCTCTCTTAAGTGTTCCCCAAAAGAAATGAAACCCACACAAGAAATGCCCACACAAACACTTGTACATAAATGTTCACAACAGCTTTATTTATAAATAGGCCCAAACTGAAAATAGTCCATCAACACAGGATACCCACCTACTGTGCTTTATAGGCCTAGAAAGAAATGCTACAGAGCAATATGAACACACCACATATATGTGCAAAAACACCAATGAATCTCAAAAAACACTGTGAGTGTATCCACACACTAAATACTTTCCAACATTAAAAAAGGAATGAAATATTGATACATGGTACAACATGTATCTCAAAGTAATTATACTGAATGGAAGAAGCCAGACGTTTAAAAGTACATACTATACAAGTCTATTTATATAAACTCTTAAATCTACTTTAGAGTGAGAAAGTGATCAGCGTTTACCTTGAACTAGGGGTGGGAACTACTGGGAAGGAATATGTGCAAGCATACAGGGGTGACAGAAATGTCCTAAATCTTGACTGTGGAGGTGGTTGCGATGGGTGCATACATTCATCAAAATTCAATGACACCATGTAATTTAAATGGATGCATTTCGTTGTATGTAACTTATACCTCAATAAAATTAATTTTAGATGTCATTAAAATGATGAACAACATGATGTTCTGAAATATCTGGAGCACGATATGCCAGGGCAGAATGGCTTTCTCTTTCGCATATGAAAGCAAGAGTCGAAAGTTTACTGAAAATGTCCTCTTGATGTACGCTCCAACGTCTCCCTTGGGCAGCATCAAGTGTATGATGAATAGAAGAAAAGGAGTAGGGCCAGTATTAGCCCTAAGGTTGAGAAGCATCCCAGATGAAGAGAAAATGAGTTTAAGTATGCCAGAATGTTTTAATATACTGGCATTTCTGTAAAAGAGGGTAATCTTAAGACTCTAAGCAATGATATTATGTATACATTTATGTGTATTTTAGGTTACCATGATGCTAAAACCTATATATTCACTATCTCTTTTCAATCTATTTATCAATATAGAAGAGAAACACTTTCATTTTATAAAGAAACTGAGATAAAGAAAAGTAAAATCGTTATTTGCTCAAAGTCAAATAGATAAAAATGGCAGACTGGGATTGAACCTAAATCTATCTGACTCCAGTGCACAGGATCTTAACAGTTTTTGCCATTTTATCATCGATTATGCGATCTATTCTACCCTTTGCTTTATAAAGAGGCACAAGTATGTTAGCCTGCACAGATTCCAGAGCACTGTACTGGTCTCCTTATAGCTACACTAGCAGATCTGGGGAATGGTACTGAGAAAGCAGTTTAAAGCACGTGTGAAGCATTAGATTGTGCAACATGCCATTCCTGTATAGTATAGCTATTGACTACTGAAAGTAATTATAGCAACTGAAGAGCTATTGGTCCCAAATAACTGTCGCTAACTTTATTTCCTAGTCTTCCCAAAAGCCCCACAAAGTTGCTAAAATTTACAACAAAATGGATAGATAAGACATAGATCTCAGAAAACCTCTTTTTATTGGTAAGAAGACAACTAGAAGACAACTACAGCAGTATCTCTTTCTTTATCCTATTTTCCTTTTTGTTTTAGTTGTTTTCTGTGTATAATTCTTCTGGATTTTAAAGTTTCACATACACCAAAAACCATCTGTACCCCTTAAAGCTATTGGATTTAAAAAAATAGCGAAAGGCTACAAAAAGTAATCCTTAATAAGATGGAAAAATAAAAATAAATTTTAAGTTTCATATATTTCCTTAGTTCTCCTCTCCAGGAGTTTTGCTAATATGGATTTGATTTACTCAAAATCATTGTGTCCTGTTAATTTTTTGAAATGCATAGTAAAGAAATACAATGTAGTCTAGATATACTAGACTAAAATTATCTACTTTAATGGCTGACAAAAAATTCACTAAGTGATTACCCTGTTTAAGAACATATAAAATATGGATATGAAGGCAAAAAAATAAATTTGAGCATACGTTAATTATAGCTGTACAAGAAAGTGATGCGATTTTCATCCTACCTGAAGTCACATGCAGTCGTAAATTCTGCTCCTCCACCCAATGCCCGACCTTGAACCAGTGCAACACTTATTAAAGGAAGTCTGTATATTGAAGGAAAAACTGATATTAATATTTTTAATTTCAATATTAATTTACAAATGTATTTTTTAAATCTTGAAATGCAGTGGAAACAAAATTACTGTACTGTCTTTATGATGACAAACACACATCAAAGGATAGTGGAACCTTAAACCTGTGCATTATGAGAAGAAAAAATATATAATACCAAAGATATAATAATTCACAATCAATGTCATGTACGTTGATCAAATTATCTCCCTGAATCATACATTTAAAACCTATAGCCATACTGTAACATTCTTCCAAATACATAGGGACCCAAAAACGTCAGAATTGTTTTTTGGAAGGCAGGCCCCTTGTGCTACAGGCCTTCCCCCCAGGTAAGTGTTCTAGGGACCCATCAGCATCAGTGTCCCAGATAGGATTGTTGTGAGAGGCTGCATTCGGTTTCAGTGAGTTTTCTTTGGAGGTTCTTTCAGTGCGTGCACCCATTTCATGGTGGGTGATTTACATGTACACCTGCCCACACTGCACTGAGCGTTCGGCAGTTTTTGGCTGAAAATGGCAGGATCCCCATGCCCTCCCTCCCTATTCACCCAATCTCACTCCAAGTCACTTTTTTTTGTTTCCCGGATGAAGAAAGTCCCCAAAGGGAAACATTTTGCTGATGTGGGAGAGGCAAAACCAAAAACGGCAGAAGCACTAAAAGGCACCAAAACTGACTAATTCAAGTTGAGCAGTGGAAAAAGCATCTTGATAAGTGTATTGCACCAAACAGAGAGTATTTTGAAGGTGACTGAAGTTTAAACACGTAAGAATAAATACCCAATTTTTTAATAAATAAATTCCAGCATTTTTCCCCCTCACAAATGGACACTTTTGTATGATTTATAACTCCTGGAACTTCTCAGCAACTAACCACTGGGAATAATTCAATGTGATATGTATTGTTTTAGTTCATTTTTATGGCTATCGGGTTAAAGGTGGGAAAATTAAGGCTGTATCCAAAGATACAGAAGATATAGCTCTAAAACTATGTTATCAAGGTTCCTGTCAATGTCTTCTCATTACTGTCTAAAACGATCCACAAACTAATTCTACACAAAGGCATGACTTTGTGATAAAAAGAAATCTCTTATCTTTCTTGTTCGCAAAGACCCACTTTGCAGGAGCATGTGAATGCCACAAGGTAAAATCTAAAATGTTTTGAAAGTATGAAATTTTTTGTAGGTTCTAACCCCAAATGCAAAGCTGCATGTCTAAAGTAATTGAAAATTTCCTAACACTGCTCCTAAGTGGAAATAATTATTTAAAAAAGAATAACTTCACAGATTTATCTAAGGAAAAGTCAAATATAATAGGGAAGGAGAGATGAACAGGACCTAAGACAATAAAAATAGTATTTTAGAATACTAGTGTTCTTACTCTTTCTAGATTCTCAAATATGATAAGTACAAAAAAATAGTGATGTCCGATTAATAACTATCCTTAATATGAATTTCCTAGTTTTCATAATTGTAAAATTGCCCACATACAGAATATGAAGGCAGAAAGCTAATCAGCAAAAACATGTTAGTCTGTAAACCCAAATGTAGAGGAGAGACCAAGAAGAATTTTTCCCATTTTTTTCTCCATGTAGGTGCAAAGTAAATTCATCTTTCTCAGACAGCTGTAAAAGCCTTCTCCAGTCCATAGTCCTTTCCCTCCTCTGGATACCAACCACTTCACCACACATTCTACTAGCTTTGAATACTCGGTAATCTTTATGTGCCATCTCTTGATCACTGCCTTTATTACTGTGCTCTATAGTATCAGTACGTAACTTTCCCCACATCTATTCCTTAATATAGCTGGTTATATCAGTGCTCTAGGGAAAGGGGCTATGTTTTAAATTCTTTGTCTCTCTTGTTTCTCTTATTTTTAAAATACTTATGTATACCTCACTAACATTTAATTAAATGATTGTCCTCTATGGAACAAAGAAATAGTTCACCATCAGAATAAATATAATTTGAAAATCATCTATTTCTTAACTGATACCAAAAAATGGAATAGTAAAGAGCTATCTCTTAGAAATCATATTTTAAAAAGAAAGATACATTACCTCATAAATCTTGTTAAGGTGTTTTGCATGAACATGCACAAGGCCATTCCATCCTTCAAATAAAATAAGCATAAACACAAAGGTATGGTGAAAATATACTACACAAGAAATTTGTTAAATTCAGATTTTAGAAAGTAATGAAGCCAAAGATACATTTTTTAAAAAAAGGTTTCTATTCAAAATTATTTGATGTAGTCTGAAATGAAATTATGCTGTATTTGACTCTTGAGATCCTAGGTCTCCTTGAGCTCAGCTTTGCGTGAGAGTCAGATCACATACCCTAGAACAGGACGGAGCTCCACTCAGAGTCATGTGAGGGGAAAAGACATACGATACACTCATCTATTATCCCTAAGAAGATGAAAGTATAAATGAAGGAAGGGAACAAGGGAAAAATTATGTTAAGTTTTGATATTTTTTGTCCTTCTAAGGCTTTTATCTTTGCATCTCTACAAATTACAACTTTCTTAAACAAGTTTTTTAAAAGTAGTTCATACACTCATTGTCTCTTCTTTTTAGCCTCCCACACTTTCTTCAACCCAGTTTAATCTGATCTTTACCTTCCTCCCAAAAGACTCTCCTCAAAGATTTTCAACAATCTATTTGTCAAATGAAATTACTTTTCCTTATTCCTCCTCCTCTTCTCTCTCTTCATAACACGCGGTACCTTACTTTGACGTTTCTTCATTCCAATACTCTCAGTTTCTAGCAACATTTAACAATCCTGATTCTTATCCCATTTCTGTAATTTTCTTTTCCCCTTTCCTTTCTTGGCTCTTCATATTCAGCTAATCCCCTAAAAGTATGTTTCCCAAATATCCAATCCAAGAGTTGCTTTCTCATTATTTACCAGTTCTTTTTTGGAAGTCTCATCTACTTCCATATAAAGTACTAAAACCTACTAGTCATTTCTACATTCTGCCAATACCTCCAACTCAGTATGGAAAAACCAACTGGGAGTGAAAGAGCTGAGTTTGAATCCTAGTGCTGCTACTTACTAAGAACATGAACTTGAGCAAGTCATAACTATGAAATTCAGTTTCCCCAACCATAAGAAATGAGGAATGAAAAATTATTGTTCAATTTGATGTAAAGGATGATTGGAGAGATGAAAATGTACCTAGACACTCTGTACAAGATTGCATAATTTTAAGAAGTCTGTGTTAGTGGAAGTTAGTGGAAGAGTTATGAACTAGTGGTCAACAAGGCTCAGAACTTTGATACAATCTTTGACTTTTCTATTTTACGATTCTCCTACACTCAATTAGCTACTAAAGACTTCCCCTCAGTTCTTTCTTTGAAATATTTTCAAAATCCATCCCTTCTTCTAAAATTTTCACTACCGCTGCACTAGCTCAGACTTGTGTTACTCAAATCTAGAATATTACAATTCAACTATTTTGCTTCCTCTCTTACAAGTGCTAACCAGGCCTGACCCTGCTTTACTCTGCTTAACTTCTGAGATCAGATAAGATAGGGCATGTTCAGGGTGATATGGCTGTAGCTAACATCTTTGCTTCCTCTGAATTCAATTTCTTTTTCCATATATATATATATATCTTCCATCTGCTACCTGATAAACTTCCTATAAGATGATTTCTTATAATCAATAAAGCCTAAACTTCTTGACAAGACCTGATCCTACCTGATCCCAAACTATTTTGCTAATTTTATTGACCACCATACCCCTCTCCAAGTATCCTAACTCCAGCCACACAAACTATTTGCCATTCCTTTAATATCTTATACTTATCGTTGTTCCTGTGTCTTTACTGACATCATTCCCACAATTTAGAATAGCCTATCCTTCTCTCTACCAATTTGATCTGATCTGGGAAGGCCCAGATCAAATAATATTTTTCCATCAAGATTCTATAAGTCCCATAATCACAGTTTTCTCTTTTATGTTTCCATAGTATTTTTATTGTTGTGCCATAATTATAGTACTTACAGATTGTCTTGTATGAATTATGTGTTTGGATTTATTATTAGACATATCATTATATATAAGATGGGGGCTTGGAAATATAATAAGTCCTCAATCTTACCAGATATACAGAAATGCATATCTGACCAGAGATACAGAAATGCAACAAGTATCCGGGTATAAGTTAATAAGTATTTCACAAAAGGCATGAACAAACTGAGAAGAGTTCCAAAGAAGAAACAATTCACTGCAGTTAGGGTGGGGGTAGTAGGGAAGGCTTTATAGAGAAGAAGGGGAGATGGCATTTGTTAGGCCTAGACACTAAGTCCATTGAGGCTGACAGTATGCCTTCTTCATTCTCAGAGGTTAGCAAAACGTTTTGTAGATAATATGTAGGTGCTTGAAGTCAACTAAATCAGATGAATTTTAGATGGAGAACTAAGTTGATTTATATAACAAATGTAGTCAAGAAAAGGTTAGACCCAGTATAGTAGAAATTTCCTAAATGTAAACCCTTTATCAGGAAGATCAGTGTATACATCACAAAGTGATAAAAAGATTAATACAGGCACAAAGAACTAAAAAGCTTTACAGTGGGCTGATTTACATTCTATTAAAAGCCTTTCCATTGCTGGTGTAACAGTTTTGGGGGAGAAATTTACTCCCTGAATCTAAAATAAAATAAAATTTAAAAACATTTCTCGTGTCCATCTATAAGAAGCAACTCCTCATCCATTCAAGTTGTATCATGAGATTGTAAAAATTCAATTCCATCTTCAAGTTGCACTTCTAATCTGATTCTCTTGCTGTTTCTACATCTGTAATTACTTTCACTGAAGTCTTAAGCCCCTCAAAGTCATGGATGAGAACTGAACTCAACTTCTTCCAAACTCTGCTAATGTTGATATTTTGACCTGCTCCCATGAATCATAAATGTTCCTTAAAAAACAACAGCAACAACAATAACAAGCCTTTCCAATATGAAGCCTGTTCTATTGCCTACATAAAGTAATTTAAATATGCCTATTTCCTCTTGCTAGATTTAAATTATTTAAAATTATAATAGAAGTATCAAGAATTGGTAGAGATCAAGGCAAAGCAGGTATGAGCCTTTGTACTATTATAATTTTCATTGAAAAGATAAAAGGCACACTAAAAATATTTAAGAGCAGTATGAAATAAACGGTTAGGAGTACAGCTGTAGAGCCAAACTGCCTCAGGTGGAATCTGGTCTCTAGTTAACACTTATTAGTTAGTTTTACTTTGTTCAAGTTGCTTAATTTCTCTGTCTTTCTGTCTCCTCTTCTATAAAATGGTGCTAATAATATTATTTATTTCATTAAGAGGGTTAGTAATGATTAAGTAAGCTATGGCACACAAGGAGCTTTCAACAGTGCCTAACACACAATAAGAGAATAAAAATGCTATCTAGCGTCGTTATTATTATCACTAATAGTACTAGCAATCAGATGAGTATGTTTTGGCTTTGAATGGAAGTTATACAGTACTGGCAATATGACCTACAGGTAAGAAAGATTTAATTACATTTTTCCCCCGGTTGTTAAGTCAACAATGGTTAAATGCTCAGTCCTCTCACTGGGTTCAAGGATAAAAATAAGCCAATAAGAGATGAACCCTTGCCTGTGATAGAATAAGTTGAGGGTAAGAGACTAATACAAAGCCAGGCCTGATCTGATGCATAAAGCTGTAAGCTGAGTCTGATGCATAAAGCTGTAAGCTGAGAAGTATCAAAAAGATTTTGAGAGCTGCTGCAGATACTTTCATTCTATCTGGATGATGCCTGAGATCCAGCCCTGCCCCTCTAGTTCTTTTCAGGATGACACAGAAACACAATGCTCAGCCAAAATGCCAAAAAAGAAAGCTGTTAACATCACATTTACTCTAAGCCACATTTAGAGTGAAAAAATGCCCAGCCCATAAAAGTATCTTATCTCAGAACCATAAATGAGCCTTTTGAAAAGTGCCCGTTGTGTAGACTTATTAATTTCCTCAAAATACATGGAAGGGTTTAGAGAAAATTAAAATAGCTTCTATAAATTAATAATATTACACAATGCGACTGTACAATATACAGTGGCAAACACAAAGGAGTTAGACAAGAACTTTGGGGTCACTTTAGAAATTCAGACAATAAAGAACCAAGGAACAACATTTTGGCAGAAAAGTAACAGAGTCGGGGGGTAAAGGAGAATAGTATCTTCAGTCTAGATTAAGAGTATAAAGGTTTCTAAATGCCACATTTTTCTTGAAGCATTATACCCATTCATTGTAAAGTAAGTAGGTTTTTTATTTCCCCATATTCTGAAGCGTATAACTGAACTTTAATTACTTACTTCCCTGAAAAGAAATTTCCTGTCATCTACACAACATCTGTGGCATCAAATTCAAATCTTATAATTGGGTTAATATTTACATTAGTTTTGTTTTGTTTTTTCTATTTTATTCTCTTCTCCTCCCCATTACTTTTCAGGGCTAATCTTCGTGTTGTGCTAATGGATCTCCTGGCGTCTACTTTCTCAACCTGGAATTAACTGCTTACTAGGACTAAAAGCTCTTTTCCTGCTCCTTAGAGGAGTCCAAAATTACACCAACTTCTTATGGAATCAGTTACACTTAAAAGAAAAAAAAAGTGGAGTGATAAACAAATATAATAAAATGTTGATAATGTTGACGTTCATGAGAGTTCCACTGCATTAGTCTCTTTGCTTTTGTTTTTATTTGGTAATTTTCATTAATAAAATGTTATTTAAGACCTTGAAAAACTATAGTGTCAAAATAATTATGTTTTAAAAACCATTGAATAATCACTTTCAAGCATTTTATTACAATTAGAAAGGAGTATAATCCAATTACTACAATTATCATAAATTCCAGTTATCTCATCATCCTCAGAAAAGCAAATTCACCAAATTAGCAAGTGCTAGTGATATATCGGTTGGCAACAAAGAGTAAGTATTTGGGTAAAGAAGAGTCTCATTGAGAGAAAAATTGTTTACAACTTTAAGTCATGTTGAGAGTTTCAGAATGTCTCAGCTGTGAGGGGCAGATGTATTTATGTGCGCAGCTGCAACTCAATATACATGCATGAGCCTCAGAAGTCCTGAA